GCGGCGGAAAGCACCGCCCGCCCCGGAGAAAGGTCGCGGGTCCGCCCAGGAGCCAGGTCCACCTGGGCGGGCGGGGGCCAGGCGCGGCGCGCGGCGCGCGGCGCGCGGCGCGGGCGGGACGTGGGGGGCGGGGCCCGAGGCGAGGCCCGGGGCGCCGGGCGTCTGGGGGGCGGGGCTGGGGGCGGGGCCGGGGCGCCCTGGACCTGGTGCGGACCGCCGCGGTCTGGGCGCCCGAGGTGGCCGTCGAGCTGGGTCCAAGGCTCCGGCCCAGCGCGGAGACGCGCTTCCTCTTCCGCATTCCCAGGCGTCCGGAGGAGAGGGTGCAAGTTCGGGGTCCCCGCGAGTCGGAGTCTCCGCGAGTCCCGGGTCTGAGCAGCCTCGGGGCGTCCGTCTGCTCTAGCAGCACCCCGGGCGCACGGGCCAGAAGGGCGCGGGAAAAAGGGAGGGGTGCCTCCTGCCAGAAGATGAGGAAGCCCGACGGGAAGATCGTACTTTTGGGGGACATGAACGTGGGCAAGACGTCGCTGCTGCAGAGGTACATGGAGCGGCGCTTCCCGGACACGGTCAGCACGGTGGGCGGTGCCTTCTACCTGAAGCAGTGGCGCTCCTACAACATCTCCATCTGGGACACTGCAGGTGAGGGGTGAGGGGCTTCCAGCTGGAGAGCAGCGTCCCCCAGGGCAGGGCTCCCTCAGGGCCGGGGTCTCCCAGGGCAGGGTCCCCCAGGGCAGACGCGTCCTGCCCCACACAGGATCCGGCCCTTGCTCCGCAGGTGTCTGCATCTCCGGGATCAGGCCCCTAGTCACAGTGTGGGACCACCCTTGGCCCCTCTTACTTGACTCCTTTGCTGGTGGGGCAACTGTTCAGCCACTGGGTGCATCTTAGCGACAGTCCAGGAGAACACCCTGGGCTCCAGAGAGTGTGCTGGTGACTTGTGTACCAGAGCACCCAGCCCAGCCAGCTAGTGGCAACCAGAGGCATTTAAGTGCTCGCACCGACAGGATCTCAGCTGCCATCCACAACAGCCTTGCTGAGGGGTGAGCAGAGCTAGTATAAATTACCTGCCCTTACAAAAGAGAAAACAGAGGCTCTGAATTCCCTGAGGGTTTAGGCAGGAAAGTAGGAAGCAGAACTCAGGTCTCCACCCTCAGTGCCAGGCATGTCTGCATTTTCCGCTTATCAGCCGCGTGATCTAGGCTTATGTGTGTTATGGGGTTTTGAAGTGATTGTCTATAGAAGCATTTTTAAGATAGGTAATAATTATTTTTAGTGCGTGTAGTATATTTGTGTTTTTTCAAAAGTACAGTGTATCAGAGGATCTTGATTCAAGCTTTCAGTTTGTTAACTCAATAATTACACTGACATTAGACTGTTACAATAGAATATATTTCCTTCCCCATGAAAAAGAATAAGGTACCGCAAGTAAATAAACTGTAAATAGTATGGCCTATTTGCAATGAGCATGACTTTTTGAAAGCCTGAAACCTTAAGGTCTGACTTTTTAAATGTCTGCACTTAAGTTTTTTATTTGTTTTGTTTTGTTTTATTTTTCCTCGTGCCATGCGGCTTGCAGGATCTTAGTTCCCTGACCAGGGATTGAACGCGGGCCCATGGTGGTGAAAGCACAGAGTCCTAACCACTGGACCGCCAGGGAATTCCCTAAATGTCTGCACTTTAAAAAATGATATGTATACTGGAAGGTCTGGTCCAGAATTTTAAAACTGCCAACTTGGGTGCACCAGTCAGCTGAATAAACAGGATTATAACTCACCTTGTTTTTAAAACTGAATTAATGAAGGCCGCTCTCGGACGTCTACCCCTCCTCTCTCCCTCCTGCTTTCTCTGCTGCTGTCTTTTTTGTTGTTATGGCTGTTAACATCTTGACTAATTTATTTGAAAACATGCTGTGAAAACAGCGTCTCCCAGGTACAAGTGTACCTTCCCTGCTCTGTTCTCCACCTCCAGGCTTCAGAGTGAGTGAAGTTCCTCTAAGATCCTTTACCTAAGCTGACCCTCCAGCACTAAGCATTTGGTAGCGATGGAATGAGGGCTGTAGAAATCAGACCACGTTAACATGATGCGTCTGCCTGATTTGGTACAAGGCTGGTCCTGAGGCTCCTTTGGTTGACTGGCTGGGCCTCACTGCTGTCCTTGGTTTATAAGAGGGTAATGCAGGGTTGGAGCTGGGAGACCCAAACCCAGAGCCCTGTGGTGGCTGCTGTTGGAAGCTGACCTTTACCACGTGGCGTGGTGTTTCTGGAACAGGAGCTGACCGTTGGTGTCAGAGCAGGCGTCTTGGCATCCAAGGTATGAAGAAGCAGTGTAATTTTGATCAACCACTTCGGTGCCAAGGACATGGTGCAGCTGGATTCTTGACTGCCTGCCAGGGGATTTTGTAATAAGGCTGATGAGATGTCCTCGGTATCTTGTTGGGCTCCCGGGGGCAGCGACTCACCTCCTGGCTGCCCGGGCTTCCGCCTTCTTCCCGGAACCCTGAGTGTGGACACTGGGGGCCCCAGGCCCCTTCTCCACATTGCTCACCTCCTGTGTACACACGTTCAGGGTGACGGAGGCTCAGAGGCCGCAGTGATACAGGCCACCTCTGTGCCTGGCTCCCCAAGGACGGCGGGGTTATGTGCAGCTTGGAGAGAAAAGGCAGGTATGAATCTTTGCCTCTTAGGTAATCCTTGTTGGAGATGCAAAAGTTTTAACTTTTAGGCGATTCTCTCTTTTTTCCTCCTTTTGCCTTGCCCTTAAACTTTCTTTATATTCCACATTGTCTTCTAAGTTGCGTTCGTTTTAATTTTTGTAGCTGAGGCAGAAGGACGGGGACCAGCTAGAGGATGCACGGCTTTGATCGCCGCTCTTGGTCACATGGCGTGGGTGGGGTGGGAGGGTGTTGAATAAGAAAAATGACAGCTGCTGCCCGAAGCCTGCCGGTGGAGCGGTGAGTGGGCCAGAGCGTGGAGAGGAGATGTGCTGGGCTCTTAGGTAGTTCTCTTAGTCAGCTGGCACAGGACTGCTTCCAAGGGAGTGTGACAGTAGATGGGGCTGGAGCTGGTTCCACCAAGTTTCTCGAATTCTCCCAGGCTCTGCGCGTTGCCCAATTCCAAGGCCACTTCTATGTTCATTACAGCAGCATCCCACTCCCAGTATCAGTTTTAGTTTCCTACTGCTGTGCTTTCCTGGGGGAGCATCTGTGGGGCGTGGGGTGGTACGTGAGTGAAGATGCCAGAAGACATGGACTGTCCATCTGAGGACCATGAGCCCTGGTCATGCTCCTTCTGCTCTGCGTGGAAGCTGCAGCCCCCGGCCCCGCTTCTAGGCAGCTGCTCCTGGATCCGGGGGATGGTGGGGATGCTGTGTCGGAAGTGGGGTTCGTTCAGGTTGGAAGAGGCGGCAGCGTTGTGGACCCACCTGGAGAAGAGCCGTCTTTGCCAACAGGGGACGCAGAGTTGCCGATCCTTGACGGTTTGGACCGGCCTGCGAGGGCTGCGTGTTTAGCCTTGCGAGACTGGCGCAGAAGTGGGTGGACAGCCCGCGCAACGTGTGCACGGAGCCAGCGGTGGATGGCTCGGATTTTAGCTCTCTTAATTTATTAGTGCAGCTGCGGAGTGGGTTTTGAGGTCCTAATCCGGACAAGCAGGATTGGTGTGACACGGGGCATCTAGTGGATGACCTCCCCTCTCTGTAGATCTGGGGGCTGACCTGGGCCTCACAGTTGCCCCACGTAGTGTTATTGGCGCCCCGCCCACCCAGTGTTTTACAGCAGCAGAGCTGAGTGGCTGCAGCAGAGACCATAGAGCACAGAAAGACAAAAACATTCACCCTGGCCCTTTGCAGAAATAGTTTGCTGACTCCTGGTTTAGGTCACATAAAAAGGAAAGTACTTTTCTAAAAGTCTTTCTGTAGTTTTAGAAACTCCCCGAAGAGTTTAGCATTTAGGGATTGAGGAGACCCTGGTTCAGTTAAACTCGACACGCAGCTCTGAGATTTCGCCTGGGTGTCCACTCAGAGCTAGACTGGGGGAGGGTGGGGCCTGGATTTAAGATTAGCCTGGGCTCCTACTGAAAAACTGTTCTTGGAAATAAATCTTAGATTAGGTTTGGGATCTGGAAGCTAAGCCTGCAAAGCCTGTGTTGTAGGTGGTCCATGTCTTTGTGGGTGGTCCATGTCTTGGTAGGTGGGTCGGTGTCTCTGTGGGTGGTACATGTCTTGGTAGCTGGGTCGGTGTCTTTGTGGGTGGTCCACATCTTTGTAGGTGGTCCACATCTTTGTAGGTGGTCCATATCTTTGTGGGTAGTCCATGTCTTGGTAGGTGGGTCAGTGTCTCTGGGTGGTCCACATCTTTGTGGGTGGTCCATGTCTTTGTGGGAGGCCCACCTCTTTGTGGGTGGGTCACATCTTTAGCACTACTGAAGATTTTGAATCGGCGCCCTCTGGGGTCAAGGCATCATTTGTAGAATTCCTTTGCTTTCTTGAGCAAAAACAGTGACCTGAATATGAATGTGGGTATTAGGGTAGGTGGAAGAAAATCTACTGTCTCGGCTCAGCAGGGTGGACAGGGAGCCATTGTACGGAGAGATCTCAGAGGACGAAGGCTGCCAGGGCGCAGCTGCACGTGCTGGGAGGTCTGCCCGGAATCTCCCTGGAGGAGGTGCTGGGAATTCTGGGGGTGGGTGGGGGGAGGTATTTAAGGCTCACTACTGTGGTGTGATGCGGGAGACTTTAACTAATTGAGGTCCACCACATTTGTGAACTAATACCTGGATCTTGTTAATGTCTCTGGGCGCTAATTCCATGCTTCGTTGTCTTTAAGTTCGCAGGAGAAATAGAAACTTTATGATTCCTAATTGAACTCCTCTCACTTCGCTGAGACTTCACAGAACTTCCCTCTCTGTGAAAAAGAAATTTTACACACATGTACACGTGTGTACGTACATGAGTTCAAAGGAGTTTTTATTCTTAGAATGAGGGCTTCGTCACTGTGATGACAGACTCTCGCGGCCCCTTTCCTCTTGTCCTCCTGTTATGGAGTCAGGTGCCTCAGGCCTGAGCCAAAGGTGCTATTTGGAATTTGTCACACGTGCCCTGTCCGCCTCCGTTTTCACCTTTGCTTGTGGCATCTCTCTCTCTGGGACGTCCCCTCTCCGGGCGATCCCCAACGTGAATTCTGTCCCATCTTCCAATGGCACATACTTTGTGAAGCCGTCATGGTAGCGCCAGATTTCTGCTTTTGCTCCAGACTGTACTACCACGTGACCTGGTGTGCCTTACTGTGTTCTGCCTTGTTTTGTTACCCGTCTGTCTTTCCTCTGACTTACAAGCTGTTGGAGGGAAGTTTGGGTTGTATTCATTTTTATGTTCTCCACAGACTAGCATTTTACTCTGTAATATTTTCTTTTTAAGCTAAGTTTTGCTGGATGAAATTGTTGAAAGCAATGGGAACAATTTAGAGCGGCTGAAGTTTGCAGGTTTATGGTCTTAATGATGTATTGACTCTGAATGATAAAATCAGTGTAAAAATGTCATTATCATGGGCCCTATAATGCAGCCAAAAATAGGCCAGTGTATGCCTGGTGAGGAAATACTGGTTCCTGATGTCAGTTATATGTGCCCTTGAAACAACTCTTTAG